AAAAATACATTTTTTTAAAAAAGAACTGACATCAGCAATGAAAGCATCACTCAGGACAGTGGGAAGTATGGGATCTGATCAGCAGGCACTAGCTCCTCCCCAAAAGATCAACAGAGGTTGCTGAGCAAGGTGATTCCAAGAGCTAACACACAGTCAAAATGACTGTGCCAGGCACTGCTCAGCCTTCAAAATATCATTTTATTGACTCTTCACAACCAGAGAGTTGTTCCCACTTGAAATCTCAAGAAATTGAAGCTAAGAGTAAATGCTGTCCTCAAAAGCCCATAGCTAGAAGTTGCTGAGACTGGCCTCAAACTACTTGTGATTCCCATGCCTCAGCCTCCCCAGTCACTGGGATTACAGGTGTGTGTCACCCTGCACAGTGCTCCACATATGTTCTTGAGAGCCTACTATGGAGTAGATATTGTGCTAAGTGTTGATGAGCAAAATCAATGTAGTCTTGACCCATGTGGAACTTAAACCTGGGAGACAGACAACAAGCAGAATTGCACAAAATGCTTACTAGGATCATTTCTATGAGAGCTCCTAACAAGGGGTTCTGCCCTCTTCAGGGAGATGGCATCATGGAAGTCTTCTCAGGAGAAGTGATGCTTGAACTGAGATGTTCAGAGTGACACTGGAGTATTTGAGGGAAGAGCTCAAAAAAGAACGTTCCAGGCAAAGAGAACAAAAAGTGTAAAAGTCCTGAGGTGGGAAAGAAACCACATATTTTAGCTAGTAATTTTTATTAATAGAAAATATTTTAAATTATCTTTATTTTTTATATTTTTATACCTGGAATTGAACCCAAGGGTGCTTAACCACAGACCAATGTCCTCAGGCCTTTTTAAAATTTTGAGACAGGGTCTCACTCACTATGTTGTTTAGGGCCTTGCTAAATTGCTGAGGCTGGCTTTGAACTCGAAATCCTCCTGTCTCAGCTTCCCCAGCTGCTGGGATAACAGGCATGCACCACCATTCCCTGCTTGTTAGGAAATCATGATACATGGATTTGGAGGAAAATTCTGTCAATATAAAAAAAAATAGTAAGTGCTGCACATAATAATCTTGAAGACAATTATTGAACTTGAACATTTGTTTAGTTATAAAACTACTACAAACCATGATTTATTTATTCAACAAACATTTCTCAAAGGCATGTTGGCCAGGATAAGAAAGGGAAGCATAGAGATCCAAGAAGTTGAGCCCAGAGAAGTGGACAGGAACTAGATTAGGCAAAGTTTTGGAGGACATAGGATATTTTTTCTAAGAGCATGCAACAGGAGGCCACCAGAAAAGTTACTAATGAAGGGAAGTAAAAGTGATAGGAGTTATGTTTGGAAAATAGAGTCAATACTCTAGGGATTCACTCTAGTGGGAGGGCAGGCTGGAAACATGGAGAAGAGATAGGAGGCCACGGCAGTAGCCAAACAAGGGGCTGCAGTGGTGCACACTAGCATGGTGGTGATGGGGAGGGAGGGCCACAGCATGTTGTATTCTCTTCAGCTTGTGGGTATCCACTTTGCTTTTCTTCTCCCTCCCCTGGAATCCCATCCCTGTGATAGCTCTCTTCCCCCTCCCAGGAAGACAGTGAGGGCTGCTCAGACCCCTGAGATTTTATACCTTGGGGTTCCTCAGTGGCCCCGGGCTGTTCAGCTTGGCTCCCAAGGAGGTCTTTTTCTCCAGTGAGTGGGTCTGAAGAATGAAGGAGCAGCTCACTAATCTGCTCCTGCTCCTGCTGACTGAGGAGGGGACTTGGCAGGGGGCTGCTCTGGTGTGCTCCTCCTGCTTGTGTTAACTACAGGCCCCAACCCCAGAAAAGCTAGAGGATTACTGCTCCTGGGGCTCCCTGCCCCCTTCCTCACCCCAAAACAGCCAAAGGAAAGGCTTGAACTCTCCTCTTCCACAAGTACACACATTTCTGTATTCATGATAGAGACAGAACATATCTTAAACTTGCCTTTTCCGGTGATAAACAGGAATACAATCTACTAGAGAAAATTGGAAAGTACGACCAGGAAGATTTGCCAGGATTCATAATACTGCCCTGCATTTTTTGCATGTTTTTCCAGTCATATGTACTTGTATAAATGCTTAAGGTCATATACACTGAATACGGTACTGTGCATCTTTGGCTCTTTTGCTTTGCATTAAGCTTTTCCTCTGGTATTAAAATCCTTCTGTAAACAATTTTAATATCTGCAAAGTAGACTTTAGGGAAAAAAAACATTTTACTTAACCTTTCCTCGTTTATTGGACATTTGCATTGGTTGTAACTTTTAAGTATTATAAGGAAGGACAGTGAGGAACATTGTTGTTTGTACATCTTGCCTGTAGTTTAGACACTCGCCACTTCCACAAATTTCTAGAAGGGGGGAATTAAACAGAGAAGTTGTGTAGTCAGAAGACAAGAAAGTAAATCTCCCTGAAGGATAATTCCTCCTAAAAGTAGCTCTGCTCCTGTCCCCAAGCTAAAAGATGAGCTAGCCTTTCTCCCTGTGTAGGGACCCAGTGGTCAAACCGTGACTATTAGGTATCTCTGTGTCAAGAATTACCTCTTTTATCTAGAGACCTCCTTGGATTATGGGCTTGTGAGGCAGCTGGGGCTGTGATTTCATCGGTTTCTCTTTACCTTTTGTGTCCTGAGGAGCAGAGAGAATCCTTCCAGGCCTGGGAGTCTAGCTGGAATGGGCTGCAGAACCACCTAAGCACCTTTGAGCTATAGTCATTTATTTCTCCTTTCCAAGGCGGTTTCTCATATATAAAACAAGCAAAGGGAAGCAGGAGGAATTGGAGTTCTGTTATTGTTGCTGTTTGAGCAACAGAACTCTTATTTCAAATTAAACCTAGCCAGAACCACAAATCTATGGAACAGATTAAGGTGCACTTGCCCTGTAGACCTGTGGAGGGAAGGAGGGGGACTCCAGTTTGAAAACTCTGGCTTAGAGGATGGAAGTTTGTTCCAGTTCAGTTCAGCCCTCTTCCCTATTGCTGAAGTTTAAAAAAAAAATATCTTTCATCTGTATTTAAATCCTCCAAATGTGCTGATTGATGAAATCTTTTCTCTTCTTAAAGGCAATTTGGAAATCAGACAAAGTGGAGCACAAAGCCATGGATGTTTAGAGAGGGAGTGAGCAGTATGTGAGACACGCTGAAAGGGTGACCCTGGCACTTCTAAGAAGGCAGCAGCACAATGGGCTCTTCGAAAGAAGCAGTGTCAGAGTTTATTCCCCCGTTGGCACCGCCCCGCTCAGTGGGGAGAATTGCTTGTTTTTACCCTCCCTTTCCTGGAGTCCTTTCAGACCAAACTGGAGTCCACAGTGGCTAGCAATTGGAGACCCAGAGTGACCTATGAACAGGTATTTTAGTGAATTCAAACACTGTGAACGATATGAATAGGGAGGTGGCTATGACAAGAGTTTCCTACGACCGCTGGGACTTTGGAGCACGAGTGCTGGGATGCAGAAGTGTAGGTTCACCCACCCGGCAGCCTGGGGCTTTTCTCCAACCACAGTTCCAAGGATTGAAGCCTCCACGGCCGGCCAGTAGGGGTTGGAGGTCTGTGGCCCTGCAATGGGGAGTGGAGGGAATGGTTAGAGGCCCAGCAAGGACGCAGCAGGCCATAGAAGAGCACTGGAGGAAGAGCCACAGCCGCTGCCTCCCACCCCAGGCTGGACAGTGGGGGATGGGGTGCAGGATAGGGATGTCAGTGCATCTTCGGGGGAGGGGTAACACTGCCTTCCCAGGGAGACCCGACCTTTCTTGGAGAGGCGGGGTGGGTTTAGTCTCCAGGATCCGCAGTGATGTGTAAAAAGCGGCACGACCCCCGAAGCCTCAGAAAGCCCCCGCCCCTCCCCCCAGGCCCGCCCAGGCCCGCAGGTGAATGGCTGGTCCGCACAAAGAAAGCCGGCTGGAAATGTGGAATTCGGACCAATTTACGGGAGACTCTGTCGCCTAGGGTCCCAACAAACCTCAAGCAAAGAAACCTGTGGTCAGGAGTGGATGAGGATAAAAACAGTGCACCAGGCCAAGCTTATTGGAAAGGCCGAGTTTAGTTATTCTGGGATAGCGAGGTAACAGGATTAAAGGGATTAAGGAAATCACCTCAAACAGCTGAGGAGAGGGTAAAAAAACACTGGTTCTATTTGTTTTCTTCCTAGGCCCCAAACAGATACGCTGGGGCCGTGTGGTCGGGTGCGAAACGAAGGACCCTTCGGGGGACACACAGGAATGGCCAAGGGTCAGGGACTGGGGGAAAGTGAGGGGGTGGGAGCCAAAGCAGCTCCAGGAGGCTCGGAGTGAGAGGGAGCCTCCTCAAGAAAACAAGTGCACTGCGTTGACAAGTTAAAAACAACCCATGGGCGGAGTTTTCAAATTTTTTTCAAATCAAAATGTACTTTTTAAAACCAAAGCTTCCAGTGTTGAATGCTCACTCCACCGCTTCTGCTACCTCGCTGAAAATGTATCTATTTCCTGCTGGGGATGCCTGTAACCATTTATTTTTAATAGGATCACTGAGATTTCCGAAGGGTTTTGGTTTTGTAAATATTTCAGCTCGGCTCAAGTGTCTTCCCGCCCCAGTGCACAAAGGTAAAAGTGCCCTTTTTGGTCGGTCGTTTTCGCGGCCGCCAGTGTCCCGTTCCCGCCCGTGGTGGCTGCAGAAGCAGGCACGGCTTCCGCGGACGCTCACCGCAATCAACAAGTGCGCGGCCGCGAGGGGGGTGTGCGCCTCGGCTAGTGTGGTGTCGGCTCCCAGGAGACGCTCGCAGAAGCCAAACCGCTTTCTCCGGTTGAGAATATTTCTCAGTCGAGAGTATTGGGAGCTGGTGTATTTTGGGATCACGACTAGTTTAAACAAAAACAAAACATTTGAGATCACAGTCGCCTCCCCAAGCCTCACTCAGCCCCCAGGGTGGAACCTCAGTTATAAAACCGAGCTTGAGTCCCCTCCCCAACCCGCACCTGAAGTTTCGGGCCCGCAAAATTATCAGGACTCATCATCTTGGTTATAAAATTTATTGTACTCTCATTTAGGAATTAAAAGTAAAATCTTGAAAAACCTGAAAACAAAATAGCCCCTTCCCCACCGCCCAAACGAAATCCGAACACAGTAGCGTGACGAAATAGCAAACAGTTCACGGCAGAAATCACCAACTCAACAGCCTAAATGCGGGCTGGACGAAGCTGTCCCCCGGCCAGGGGCAGCGAGGCGGGAGACACACGCACACCTGGCTATAAATTAACATTGGCTTTAGCTGCCGCGCCCCTCGGCGCGGTCAGCCCCCAAAAAACCCACGAGGAAAACAGATGCAACGCGACTGGGGGCGGGGGCGTTGCATTTCTCAGGCCAGCCTCACCCGAGAGCGTTTCTCCCATTCACTCATTTCTCGATTAATAGCAAACTAACGAGACAACATTTTCAAATGCAACAGAAGAACCCGGGGAGGAGGGGGCTGCTTTTTCTTTGCAAACATTACAGCGATTCCCAGCCTACAAAGGGGGAGGGAGGGGCAGGCAGCTCTAGAAAGTCCCATTTCCGCTGCTCCTGACTTTTTGCTTTTGTACAAAACCCGACAGCTACAGCAAAACTTTTAAGTCCTCCCCATCTTCGGTACAAGGCAACAGTCCCAGGCAAGCAAAGCTAAACAACAAGGCGTCCCAACTTGGGGGTGCAGGGCGGGGTGGGGGCGAAGGGCGACGAGCGCCGACCCGAGCTCAGATGTGGGTCAGCGGCACCGTTCCGTTGACCGCAGTCCCGGCGCCCTGGTAATGCTGGTGTACGCCGTGCAGGCGACCACCGGGCAGCGGAGAAGCGGCGTCGGCTGCGTCCCCGCCGGGAGGCAGGTACATGCTGATCATGTCGCGCAGGTCTCCGAGGCACGCACGCTGCGAGTGCGACGCGATGGCGGGCGGAGGCGAGCTGGGCTCCGACTTCACCACCGAGCCCATGGGGCCCAGGCTCATGGCGGCCGCTGCGGCGGCAGCTGCGGCGGCGGTGGCGGGCTGC